AGTTGAAGCTTAAAAGCCACTTCTCCTATCTCTGTATGACCTGGAAAGGTCCAAAATACCGAGCGGCTAGTTTAGGATGCAGTCTGGACGACATCGAGGTCTGCCGGTGTGGTCTGATCTTCAAGTACACCCAATCTCCCACCACATCTGCTGGTCTCCTTGCTTTGTCAGCCTGCTTCACCATCAGTTCCTGGGCCCTTGGTAGATGGAACTTTAGTTGTTTTAGTGCTTCGTCCCTTGTTTGTAACTCCTGGCCGACTGCTTCCACTAAGGTCTCCCCTGGTATGAACTCGTGCAAAGAAGAGGGAGATCTCCCATAACTATTTCAAATGGAGTACATCCCGCCGCCTCCTGATAGTTGGTATTGTATCAATATTCCGCCCAGGGTAGTACTATGCTCCATCCCTTTGGTTGTTCTGAGCAAAAGCATCTGAGGTAACCCTCCAACACCCTGTTCACTACCTCGGTGTGCCCATCGGATTCAGGATGATAGGCTATGCTCATCTTCAGTTGAGTTCTCTGTAGTTTAAACAACTCCTTCCAAAAAATACTCAGAAACAGTGGATCCCTATCACTCACGATAGGTATGGGTATCCCATGCAACCAGACAATCTCCTTTACAAACACTTTAGCTATGGTACGGGCGGAATAGGGGTGTTTCAATGGTATGAATTGTCCATATTTGCTGAGGCGATCTACTACTACCAGCACAGCATCATACCCGTGGGACTTAGGCAACTTCATGATAAAATCCATACTTATCTCCTCCCAAATGGCGTTGGGTATGGGTAACGGCTGCAGCAACCCCTGTAGAGAGGATGACAAATATTTATGCTGTTGGCATACCAGGCAGCTTGCAAGAAAGTCAGTCACTGCTTTCTTCATTCCTATCCTGTAAAGTGATTGTGCTACCTTGCGATAAGTCCGATAGACCCCTGAATGCCCTCCTATTTGAGTCGTATGAAACTCTGCTATCAACTTAGGCACCCAGGCCGAGTGAGCTGAAATCACAAGCCTCCCCTTATAGTGTAATCGATCATGTTCTAGAGTAAACGAGGGATGCGAGTTGGGGTCCTTTCTTAAGTCTTCTATCACCTTCTTTAACGCTTCATCTGCTTCAACCTCCTCCAGAATCTCCCCGAAATCATGCCAATAAGGTCTGGCCACAATGCTCAACTCCTTTTCCTCCTTTGTGTCCTCCTTCTTTCGAGATAGGGCGTCTGCTACTCTGTTGGTGACCCCCTACTTGTACAAAATCTCAAAGTCATACCCCAGGAGTTTCGCTATCCAATTTTGCTGATTCTGAGTGGTGATGTGATGCTCCAAAAGGTACTTCAGGCTTCTTTGATCAGTGTGAACCACAAAATTTTGACCCAATAGATAGGGCCTTCAGTGTTGTATGGCCAGGACCAACGCCATCAATTCCTTCTCATAGATCGACTTACTCAACGATCGCTCCGATAACGCCTTGATGAAGAAAGCAATAGGCCTCTTCCCTTGTGTGAGAACCGCTCCTATCCCTCTTCCCGATGCATCACACTTAATATGGAACGGCTGGTCAAAGTCAGGCGAAACCAGCACGGGTCCAGTGGTAACGGCCTTCTTTAATCTTGACATGGCTTCCTCCGCTTGCTCTGTCCATGTAAACTGCCATTTTTTAAGAAGATCAGTCAAAGGTTTAGTAGTTTTCCCATAATCCTTCACAAACCGCCTATAGTACCCTGTCAGGCCCAGAAACCCCCTCAAAGCTTTCACCATCTTGGGCTTCTCCCAATCTACCACAGCCTTTACTTTGTCCTGGTCCATCTCTACACGCCTCTCTGATATTCGATGACACAAATAGCTTATCTGAGTTTTGCCAAACTCACATATTTTTCTATTGGCCACCCATCTGTTCTCCTCGAGACTCCCTAGCACTAAACCGACAGGATCTAAGTGCTTCTCCCAGGATCGGCTATATGCCAATATATCATCAAAGAACACGAGTACAAATTTCCTCAGGTAAGGCTGCATCAGGCTGTTCATCGCACTCTGGAAGGTAGCTGGCGCGTTGGTGAGACCGAACGACATCACCATGAATTCGTAATGACCCTGTTGAGTCCGAAAGGCCGTTTTCTCTATGTCCCCTTCTCCCATCCGAATTTGGTGGTAACCGGACTTCAAATCCACCTTCGAAAAATACTTGGTCCCTCTCAATTCATCTAACAATTCCTCTATCAGTGGGATAGGAAATTTATCTGGTGTTGCCCGGTTGAGGGCTCTATAATCCACACAAAATCTCCAGCTGCCATCCTTCTTCTTCACTAGTATTACCGGACTCGAATATGGACTGGTGCTCTACCTTATGACCCCAGTCTTTAGCATCTCGGCCACCTGCTTCTCAATCTCCCCCTTCATCACATGGGGATAATGGTATGGCCTTACGTTCACTGGATCCGTACCTTCTTTTAATGGAATCTGATGAACCATGCCCCTTGTCTGGAGGTAGTCCTTTGGGCTCGTGAAATACCCTTGCATTCCTTATGGTTCTTTCTCTGTTGTTGGCGGCCGATCGGTCTGTCGCACTCCTGTGTGATCCATCTCTTCCTCTTGCGCCCCTGTTCTCCGTGGTTCCCGCTCGGTTTCCTACAGTCACTCCCGATCGGTTTTGGTGGGTCGACTGGGCTCCAAACGCGAGCTAGAACCAGTCGGTCTTCCCCAGGATTGATTTCTGCTCATACTTCCACTCCCAGCCTTCACGCCCCCTTGGACGTCCTCAACGTCCCTCGCCATCCTCATAGCTATCATCAACTCTCTCGGATCAAGCAATCACACTTGCTTTCGAATTCCATCCTGTAAACTTGCCATGAAGTATCCCATCAGCTGTGCTTTGGTCACTCCTTTTGTCTGTCCCACCAGAATTTCAAATTCCTGGATGTATTCCTCCACCAAGCCTGTCTGCTCAATGGCTGCTAGTCTCTCAAAGACTGGTCCCTAAATGCCTCCGAACCGTACCACTATTGCCTCCTTCAGTCCCGTCCACGTTTGGGTCGTCGGTTTGTTCCCTCCAGAATCTGAACGAGAATCCTGCACTACCCTCCATGTTGATGTACGCTAGACGCAACTTTTCCTCCTCAGACACCCCTTGTA